AGAGGCTGGAGCTTTCTCTGGACTCTGGTCAGAGGCTGGAGCCATCTCTGGACTCTGGTCGGGCTGGAGCCATCTCTGGACTCTGGTCAGAGGCTGGAGCTATCTCTGGACTCTGGTCAGAGGCTGGAGCCTTCTCTGGACTCTGGTCAGAGGCTGGAGCCATCTCTGGACTCTGGTCGGGCTGGAGCCATCTCTGGACTCTGGTCGGGCTGGAGCCATCTCTGGACTCTGGTCAGAGGCTGGAGCCATCTCTGGACTCTGGTCGGGGGCTGGAACCATCTCGAGATTCTGGTCGGGGGCTGGAGCCATCTCGAGACTCTGGTCGGGGGCTGGAGCCACTTCGAGACTCTGGTCAGGGGCCGGAGCCACGTCTGGACTCTGGTCGGGCTGGAGCCATCTCTGGACTCTGGTCGGGCTGGAGCCATCTCTGGACTCTGGTCGGGCTGGAGCCATCTCTGGACTCTGGTCGGGCTGGAGCCATCTCTGGACTCTGGTCGGGCTGGAGACATCTCTGGACTCTGGTCAGAGGCTGGAGCTATCTCTGGACTCTGGTCAGAGGCTGGAGCTATCTCTGGACTCTGGTCGGGCTGGAGCTATCTCTGGACTCTGGTCAGAGGCTGGAGCCCTCTCTGGACTCTGGTCGGGCTGGAGCCATCTCTGGACTCTGGTCGGGCTGGAGCCATCTCTGGACTCTGGTCAGAGGCTGGAGCCATCTCTGGACTCTGGTCAGAGGCTGGACCTTTCTCTGGACTCTGGTCAGAGGCTGGAGCCATCTCTGGACTCTGGTCAGAGGCTGGAGCCATCTCTGGACTCTGCTCGGGCTGGAGCTATCTCTGGACTCTGGTCGGGCTGGAGACATCTCTGGACTCTGGTCAGAGGCTGGAGCTATCTCTGGACTCTGGTCAGAGGCTGGAGCTATCTCTGGACTCTGGTCAGAGGCTGCAGCTATCTCTGGACTCTGGTCAGAGGCTGGAGCTATCTCTGGACTCTGGTCAGAGGCTGGAGCTATCTCTGGACTCTGGTCAGAGGCTGGAGCTATCTCTGGACTCTGGTCAGAGGCTGGAGCTATCTCTGGACTCTGGTCGGGCTGGAGCTATCTCTGGACTCTGGTCAGAGGCTGGAGCCATCTCTGGACTCTGGTCGGGCTGGAGCCATCTCTGGACTCTGGTTGGGCTGGAGCCATCTCTGGACTCTGGTCAGAGGCTGGACCTTTCTCTGGACTCTGGTCAGAGGCTGGAGCCATCTCTGGACTCTGGTCGGGCTGGAGCCATCTCTGGACTCTGGTCAGAGGCTGGAGCCATCTCTGGGCTCTGTTCAGAGGCGGGAGCCATCTCTGGACTCTGGTCGGGCTGGAGCCATCTCTGGACTCTGGTCAGAGGCTGGAGCCATCTCTGGGCTCTGTTCAGAGGCTGGAGCCATCTCTGGACTCTGGTCAGAGGCTGGAGCCATCTCTGGACTCTGGTCAGAGGCTGGAGCCATCTCTGGACTCTGGTCAGAGGCTGGAGCTTTCTCTGGACTCTGGTCAGAGGCTGGAGCCATCTCTGGACTCTGGTCGGGCTGGAGCCATCTCTGGACTCTGGTCAGAGGCTGGAGCTATCTCTGGACTCTGGTCAGAGGCTGGAGCTTTCTCTGGACTCTGGTCAGAGGCTGGAGCCATCTCTGGACTCTGGTCGGGCTGGAGCTATCTCTGGACTCTGGTCGGGCTGGAGCCATCTCTGGACTCTGGTCAGAGGCTGGAACCATCTCTGGACTCTGGTCGGGGGCTGGAGCCATCTCGAGATTCTGGTCGGGGGCTGGAGCCATCTCGAGACTCTGGTCGGGGGCTGGAGCCACTTCGAGACTCTGGTCAGGGGCCGGAGCCATGTCTGGACTCTGGTCGGGCTGGAGCCATCTCTGGACTCTGGTCAGAGGCTGGAGCCATCTCTGGACTCTGGTCAGGGGCTGGAGCCATCTCTGGACTCTGGTCAGGGGCTGGAGCCATCTCTGGACTCTGGTCAGGCTGGAGCCATCTCTGGACTCTGGTCGGGCTGGAGCCATCTCTGGACTCTGGTCAGGGGCTGGAGCCATCTCTGGACTCTGGTCGGGCTGGAGCCATCTCTGGACTCTGGTCAGGCTGGAGCCATCTCTGGACTCTGGTCAGGGGCTGGAGTCATCTCTGGACTCTGGTCAGGGGCTGGAGTCATCTCTGGACTCTGGTCAGGGGCTGGAGTCATCTCTGGACTCTGGTCAGGCTGGAGCCATCTCGGGACTCTGGTCGGGCTGGAGCCATCTCTGGACTCTGGTCAGGGGCTGGAGCCATCTCTGGACTCTGGTCAGAGGCTGGAGCAATCTCTGGACTCTGGTCAGAGGCTGGAGCCATCTCTGGACTCTGGTCGGGGGCTGGAACCATCTCGAGATTCTGGTCGGGGGCTGGAGCCATCTCGAGATTCTGGTCGGGGGCTGGAGCCATCTCGAGACTCTGGTCGGGGGCTGGAGCCACTTCGAAACTCTGGTCAGGGGCCGGAGCCATGTCTGGACTCTGGTCGGGCTGGAGCCATCTCTGGATTCTGGTTGGGGGCTGGAACCATCTCGAGATTCTGGTCGGGGGCTGGAGCCATCTAGGGACTAATCTAAAGTTCGGTTCGGTGGAAAAAATTCTACACTCTAAAAAATGCTGGGTTATTTCAACCCAAAATTGGGTCAAATATGGACAAACCCAAATGTTGGTTAAAAATGTAATTAAAAAATGTACAGTTGAAAGTGAAAGTTGAAGTTGGGTTAAAATTTTAAATTACATTTTTAACCAAACATTTGGGTTTGTCCATATGTTACCCAACTATGGGTTAAAACAACCCAGCATTGTTAGAGTGTAAGTTTTGGCAGAAGCCAAACCCCGTAAAAAAGCCCAATATACGGCCGAATCCGAATCTGAATCCTGGATTAGGTGCATCCCTATTTATTGTTGAATTTTATTTTTTATTACCAAATTTGAAAGTTGAGACTTTGTTTCATATCACAAGTTACCGGCTCTGTCCTATCTGTCAGTCAGTGACCTCTTTGCTCCGCGATGTGTTTTTCACTGGGTGAGAACATGTTGTGGCATGAAAACAGTGAAAACACAGCTTGTCAGACATAGCAACAGTAACTAAAGGGGGCGGGTCTTGGCGAACAGTCAATTGCTCATTGTTTGGATCAGTATCTAAAGTGAAGATCATGGTAATCCACTAGTAATGACTTCCGTCAGAGAAGAAACACGTCTTACCTCGGCTTGACTCCACCGCCCCCTAAAGGCCGCTGAGGTCACACACACTCCATCAGCTCTGCCACAGCAGTCCAAGATCAAGAAGAAGGTTCCAAGATTATACTGCAAATGTATGCAATAGTGACAAGAACAAGTCCAGGTATTGAGTAGGCACTTGATTTCAAGATAATTTAAACACAATGACACTTATCACAGTTAACACTGACATGAGTTTTATTCACAGTATAATCTCACATGTTGTTTTTCAGCGTCGCCGGTATGTGAAGTGGACCTGCGTTGGGAGCTTTGATTACAACAACCACTATAAACACCGTAGACATGTTGAAACAAGAAATGAAATTGATGTCATGCTGACATTAACACACACATTACAGCTGTGTGCATGTGAAAGATAACACAAACAGAGACTCAACATCATGGACCTCAATCTGTGAAGCCTGAAACTATCAGATGAATACATTGTACAGATCCACATTTATGCTGAAACACTCAACACATTGACAGACCTTACACACACACTCATTTGAGTTTATGACCAGAGAGAGAGGAACTACATCACATATAATGCACATAACAACACACAACAGCAGTACAGGACATCTTTTGCTCTGTTTCTCAAGAGGGTCTATATCTATATCTGTATGTGTGCCTTAGATCCAGGCTGGACAGTGTGGCCATCTATAGAAACAAATGTCATGTCTGATCACACAGTCCCAGAACAGCCTGACCTGCAGACAATCTCTATGAAGACAGATGTGATGCTGACCGCAGATCCATGGACCTCTAGTTTATGAACAGCACTGAAACCTTTCAGGAATGGCTTTGAATTAAAGTGTCTTCAAAATACAACACCGACCGCCCACAAATACATTACGTTTGATCATTCAGTCCAAAGGCAGCATACAGTATTTAACATTATTCACACACAGGTAAACAAGAAATATCATAATTTATAAGTTGAAGTTCATGGACTCACTGCTGAAACCCGCTAGTCTCTACAAGAAGGAAACATTATCTGATTTTGGTCAAAATCTGTATAAGCCATATTGTATACATCTATAGGCCGTTCTGAATGGCATAAACTAATTGTAAATGAATCAAGCTAGCAAGCAATAGTAAAAGCAACAGGTCTGTATCATAAACAAACATTCTTTGGAATGAAATTTTATGGAAACTATTTCAATACACTGTCATAAAAACAACTAATGAAAAATATGATCCAAATAAGACAAAGGCATTAGAGGATACACTAACACATTCAAATCTTTCAGATGACTGTGGATCATTTATTGCTGATTGTAATCTCAGAATTTACCCTTCACGTCGGTCTGGCACTGAGAGGAACACTCAGATCTGTCTGTTCGCTGTAGGGTTGGGGGTTTAAGGGATAGAGCTGCGTTCCATTTACCTCGGAAGGGGAATGTCGGAGCTGGGAATGAATCAGGGTTGTGCTTCCTCTGTTTCCCAGCACCAACTGAGTGGTGTTCCAGTTAAAAGTTCCTAGGACTTTCCCACTTCCGAGGACAAATGGAACGCACCATTAGTTCAGCCAAGAACAAAACATATAATTTACTCTTGAGTCATTCTAATCCTGTACGACTCTCTTCCCCTTCCAAAAAGCACCACGGAAGTATTCTATATGTTTTGCAACTTTGTGTGACAAACAGCCCCAAATGTAAGCCATTTCTGATACATAACTCTCCCCCTTTCCAAGATCATGTTTTCGTGAATCATGTAGAGCTGTTCCCAGCCTCATTCCTAGTTTGGACCACTTTTATATTTCATGGAAAAAAAGAAAGCAGTACAGGTATGGAATATCATGAGCGTGAGTAAATAATGATGATTCCCATTTTTAAGGTAAATTAATCTTTTGAGAATTGACAGTCAAGCTAAGTGTTCAGAGATGTGATAGAGGATCCAGTTCTACACCTGTGAGATGATCTGCATGTTGAAACTGGGTGACCGGGAGTGTTTGGGTGAGAGCAGCTCTGTCTCGGGCAGATGTTGCTCCTGCAGGCTGAGCTTGGAGTATCTGCGCGCTTCAGCACCAGTTGAGCTCCATTCTGTGGTAGAGCTCACATCAGGTGGGGCTGGCCTGCGGTCGAGAGCGGTGGAGCTCACATCAGGCCTGCGGTCAAGAGCCGTGGAGCTCACATCAGGTGCGGCTGGCCTGCGGTCAAGAGCCGTGGAGCTCACATCAGGTGCGGCTGGCCGGCGGTCGAGAGCCGTGGAGCTCACATCAGGTGCGGCTGGCCTGCGGTCAAAAGCCGTGGAGCTCACATCAGGTGCGGCTGGCCTGCGGTCAAGAGCCGTGGAGCTCACATCAGGTGCGGCTGGCCTGCGGTCAAGAGCCGTGGAGCTCACATCAGGTGCGGCTGGCCGGCGGTCGATACCCATGTAGCTCACATCAGACCTGCGGTCGAGAGCCGTGGAGTTCACATCAGGTCCGGCTGGCCTGCGGTCGAGAGCCGTCGAGCCCACATCAGGTCCGGCTGGCCTGCGGTCGAGAGCCGTCGAGCCCACATCAGATACGGCTGTCCTGCGGTCGAGAGCTGTGCAAGAGGTGCTGCTGCTCACCGGAGCTCTCCTCCGAGCGTCCCAGTGTTTCTCTGTGGACATGCGGATCTTCTTACAGCTGCTCCCTCGGCCAGACACACCTGGCACAGCGTTCCCACGGAAACCACTCGACTGGCTGCTATTGGACGCTCCGGACGAGAAGCCCTCATCAGGATCGTTCAGGAGGAAGGACTCTTCATCTCTGCTGGGCTGGTCTGGATCTGACAGACAGACAGATAGGAATGATGGACATAGGAATCTGACAATCAGTATACAAGCAAACTAGGATGAGCCTAAATATACAATCAGATCTGTGAAATTGTGTGATTTCATTGGCTGTGTATTATTAGCTTCCAGTGCCTCCCTACGGAAGCCTTTGTTCCTGCTCACGCACAAGCAAAGAAGCTGCAGCTGTCCTGAGACAAACACTCCAGAGACACGACTGCATGTGTGCGAGCACACGTGATACCGTGGCCGCCGGTCAGTAGCGGAGTGGCAATCCGGTGAGTCGGGACTTTTCCCTGTGGGCCAGTAGTGTTTAGAAGCCGCGAGGGCCGTTCTAATTGTTATACATTGCAAGTTCTTATCAACACCATTCGGCGGACTCTCTATTCTAACTGTGCAGAATAAAGAGTCTCCGCAACGGCAATAATTTGAACCGCGAGTCCGAATGAAGATGGTGCACGAGCCGCAAAAGAAACTGTATTCATGCAACTGATAGCAGCGAAAAAGAGCACTGTACTTGATTTTAAAAACAACAGATTTTAGCGCTAGATCTATAATTTAACAGTGAACTAAATGAATGCTCTGCTAGTTAACTGGAGATGTTTTATTTATTTTTGTATTATGTGTACAACTTTCCCCCCAACTTTCACAGATAACATTAATAATCTGGAAGCTGCTAAAATAAAGCATACAAAACATCAGCTAAAATTATCTATAGGCGATATGATTATAATCAGAGCATGTGCATGTTTGTCAGTGATTTGTTTATATTAGGTTATTACAGCATTTAAAGAGCAAAGAACTATGCAAAGGAGGTTCATGTGAAACGCCTTGTAAGAAATACTTTTATTTTCTGGAAAAGTATCAAAAAAGTATCGAAATTGCAATTTTTGACTTGGTATCGAAACAATTTTGGTATTGTGACAACACTATATATATACATATATATATATATGTATATGAAGACTTTGAAGTTGAGTTGTTCAAGCACTTGTAAGGACGGGGAACATGCAAATGTGACCAGTACTCTTGCAAACATACCCCCTGATCCCTCTCAGGCCCCGTCCACACTACTGCGTTTTCGTTTAAAAACGGAGAATTAAAACGAATACGATCTCCGTCCACACCAGCGTTTTGTTTGCGTATTAGAATTGATCTCCGTCCACACTAAAACGACTGAAAACGCAGATCACGTGACCATTCACCAACACTGGGCATGCGCGCGCCGGTGTAAACAATGGTTGGCGAATCAGGGAAGGACACGTCATGACTGATGACACCCAATCATAGAGCCGAGCGTGAGCCTCCGCGTCATCGTTTGTAAACTCCTCCGTTTTGTCTCGTCCACACTAAAACGCCCTCCGGAGTTTCAAAACGCAAAACGCAGCTGCAGCGTTTCTAAACTTCTCCGTTTTAGGTCTTCGTTTTTCCCGTTTTAGTGTGGACGGGAGGTGCAAACGTAGCAAAAGGTCTCCGTTTTTAAACGAAAACGCAGTAGTGTGGACGGGGCCTCAGGAGTGCGAACAGCTGCCCTCGAACCACAGGTACATGATGTGTATACATTTTGCCATGTGGGTTTGAGATGAGGTAGCTGGGTAGCTTCTGATGGCATGTATTGCGGATTATTAAGTACTTAAATCAGTAACTGACTTTGTAAGTAATCTACCCAGCACTGGCTGCCAATGACTAAATTACATAATGAGGAAACAGAGATTTCACACATGTTTTTTTCTAAATTACAGCTAAACTTGCATCATTTGCAGCATTATATTCAAGTTAGTAATATCTGTAAATCCACACCTTTCACAAAAACATCACATTGAGTATGTAATGTATTCGAGTACCCCCTACTGCTGTTTGTCAGAGTTATTGTGATAGATGTTTTCTTTAGTTGACGCACATAGTGATCTATATGTGTTTCTGTTAAACAGTTGACAGATGTGGTGGTTATTTTTGAATGAGACAAGTACTACCAATCAAAGTGTAGAGACACCTCGGTTAAGTAGGTAACCCTCATTCCCTGAAGGAGGGAACAGAGACGCCATGCCGGACTGAACAGACTAATAGGAATTTCGCTAGAGAGGCCAATCTACTTCGTAGTGTAACTAAACGAGCATATAAACCTTAGCATGCAATGTCTCGCAGTGCTTGTATATAATGAGCAGCAGGTGCATTGCATCGTCAGTTTTTCACAGAGCAGGTGATAGGAATCCCTACCAAAGCGCCACAGCTGCTGACTCCATCCAGCGAAGAATGGGTAACCCATGTAGTGAAACTATTCCATAACACTGGGAAAGCATGCCATTTCCGCTATGAAGGAGAAAGCTGCGGAAGCCACATTCTTCCCTGATGGGGTTGTGTGGCGATATACATATGGACTAACCCGCAGGTTGTACATACGAGATACAGGGTGACTTAGCCCAAGGGAAAGACACAGGCTTCTGTTTAGGACCAGGCATGGAATAATACACATATGGGATCCCCGCAGGGTTGCACATATGGCACCCAGCCTAGACCCGGTTTACTTCCTGTCTACAGTGTTGAATGGATTGAAATCTGTGGTTCGAGGGCCTGGACCTGATTCAACAGATAAAGACCCCGCACCGGACATGATGGCACTGCTGGTGGTGGAGGACTCAGTGAGCCTCTCGGTGCTTCTACCTGCTTAGGGTGAGAACGCGGGTGGAGACCGGCCCTAAACGTAGTCTATGAAACCTAGGTGTTGCCCAGCCCCCAGCTGTACAGATATCTGTTAGAGAGGCGCCACGCGCCAGCGCATAGGAGACTGCAACGCCTCTCATGGATTGAGCATGCAACCTGAGCGGGCAGGGCACACCCTGTGCTGTGTAAGAGAGCAGGACAGAGAAAAGCCAGGGCTGGGTCTGCCTCCTCCAGGGGCAGTGCTTGCAGGTTCACCACCTGGTCCCAGAACGGAGTGATAGGAACCATGGGCACATAGCCAGCCAGGTGTCTCAGTACCACGTGGTTGTTACCAAAATGCCTGTAGGTCCTCTACCATCTTGATAGAGGCCAATGCAACCAGCACCAAACAGAAGCTTTAAGTCTGCTATCTGCTGAGGCTCAAATGGAGCATCCTGAAGTGCTCAAAACACCAGGGCAAAGTCCCAAGAGGGAAGAGCAGGTACTAGCAATACCTGCTCCTCTTTCTCCCTGACTTTGCACAGAGTCTGTGCAAGTAGGCTCATTGGAGGAAACGCATATTTGTCAAGGACCCGGGCCAGCTGTGTGCCAGTACATCCGTGCCGAGTGGTCCCTCAGTCATGGAGTAAAACAGTTGGCAGTGGGAGGTCTCTGAGAAGGCAATCAGTTGTAAACTCGTTGACCACATGTCCCGTCCACACCCCTGACACTGCATGCCCGTTGTACGTGGCACTCCAGCCAAAGCAGAGGTGGCAGAGGCATCCGTGAATACCACAGCATGCCTGGACGCCTTTTCCAAGGGCACTCATGCCAACAGAAACAAGGGGTCTGATCATGGGCTGAAGGTCTGGTGGTACACCGGTGTGATTGTCACCCGTTGAGTTGCTGGATTGCCACACCCATCTCGGGACTTGGCCGTGAAGCCAGTGCTGAAGCGGGCTTATATGGAGCAGCACTGGCGGAGTTACCGCTTCTACCGACAAACGCGGCGGCGCATTCACTTGAATTTATTTTTCTCATAACACTAAAATAACTTAATAGGCTATAGCCTACTCCGTAAATTTTGGTCATACAGATGAGAAATCATCTTTTAAAACTGTAAAAGGTCTACTTTTATTTATTTACAGTACACTCAAAATAGGCTATGACAAAATGTTTTCTGTCGTCTCTGGGAACTGCACGTCAAAAAATGTCTAAAGCTTTAAATGTGAATAAATATGATCTGATTATCCATATGAAAACAACGAGAGGCATCAAGGATCTACTCAAACGTGTACGAGTGCTTGCCAATGAGGAAAGGGCAAGAGTGAAAATCTCGTTCTAATTAAATGAAGCTAAATCGCCCTGAATTTAAATGTTTAAAAAAAGAACAAATAATTTCAGACATAATTGTTGAAATGTTGCGATATTGTTTCATTTAAGTTCAGAGTTATTCTATAAATGCTATTTAATTTAACTTTAATTGGGTGCAATGAAGCTGATTATTTAAAATGTCGCAAGAATAAGATTCTGGGTTTCTTATTTTGCATTGCAAAGAAAATAAACTAAACTCGATGCAGCTGTTGTAAATAACCCGTAACGACAGTTAGTGTGGCCAAGTCAACAAAATCAGTCTTTTTCTGATTTGTTCAATGGATCCGTTTTGAAACATTTCTTCTGTCACTACGGCCGTGTATTACTGTCAGTCATCTCAATTTAGTGAATGACTCACAAATCAATAATTTAGCAGATTAACGACAATCTTCCTTCATCAGTTTTGTAGTCTGTGTGTCGGCTCTACTGGAATCTAGCAAATTTATGTTGTAATGTGCCATTGATAATTAAACAAAATGCTTGACTTTGAATAAATAAACAGTTACCTATTTAAGCATCAAGAACAGTAAAACAGAAACGCTGTCAGCCAGCATCAGTTAGCATACATTGAGACTCGATCTCGGATCGCCTGAGGCTCCGCGAGGCTCGTGTTGTTGCGTTAACCACTGAGCTACTGTCGAAACGCTGTTAAGATAACGGCCTATGCTCTTGCAAAGCCTCACTGATGTAGCCTAATGTGTTTCTATTGCAATGTTTTATGTTTAAGCGCCTCTTAGCGGCAAAAGGCAGTAAATACACACTCGCCATTTACCGCCGCGGGAACCAGTATTATTTTGGTTGAGTACCAACAGCACACACACTGCGCGGCAGAGCAGCTTCTGCACATCAGTGAATGCCAATGTTCATTGACTCGTTTAGTTTCACTCGAAGTAGATTGGCCTTTCTGGTGAGATTCCTATTAGTCGGTTCAGTCCGGAGTGGCGTCGACCGTGACCGACTGAAAGGGAACTGCTCAGCATCT